AGAGCATCCCACCATCCCAAAAAACAGTGAGCCAGCAGCCTCTACTAAATATCCCTCTATTAAGTGAATTTCAAGCACTTAAAAATTCTAGTAATCTATAAACTCCAGTCTGTCTAGAGAACCCTGCAACTGAATGAAGGAAAAACAAAGCACTGCCCCCAAAGAGCAGCCCAGGCAGAAGGAGCTCTCTAATGCCATGCCTGGGGCTCATATACCATTTGGCCCCACCCAGCACCCAAACGCAATCACCTGGAAAAGGGGAGGGGCAAAGCACAAAGAAGTAGAAAGAAAGCAGGAGCAGCAGCAGCTGGTTTTTGTTTTCTTTATTTTTTTTTTTTAAACCTGATTTACTTGAACAATATGCAGAGAGCAGACAAGAGACCTGGGGTGTTTCTAGAAGCAACAATCCCCATGCTTTTGCTGGGGTTTTTAACATTGAAAGGACAACACGACCAGGCCAGTAAATTGGAACTTTTTGAAATGGAATTACGTCAAACAGGTTCATCATCACTTGCAAAAACAGAGAACCAGCATTCACTAGCATGCCAGCCCTGACACCCACCTCTTGGACAACGCTCACTACTACTGATGCAACATACAGTTGTGCAATGCCTCTCTGTTCAAAACTCCTTTACTTCAGCTGCTCAGTAGCTCCACGTGACAAATGGCCCCGGCGGCGCCGCGCCGAAATGGGCTCCGGGCGGCGCCGCGCCGAAATGCGGCCCGGGCGGACTGGCGGCGCCGCGCCGAAATGGGCCCGGGCGGCGCCGCGCCGAAATGGGCCCGGGCGGCGCCGCGCCGAAATGGGCCCGGGCGGCGCCGCGCCGAAATGGGCCCGGGCGGCGCCGCGCCGAAATGGGCCCGGGCGGCGCCGCGCCGAAATGGGCCCGGGCGGCGCCGCGCCGAAATGGGCCCGGGCGGCGCCGCGCCGAAATGGGCCCGGGCGGCGCCGCGCCGAAATGGGCCCGGGCGGCGCCGCGCCGAAATGGGCCCGGGCGGCGCCGCGCCGAAATGGGCCCGGGCGGCGCCGCGCCGAAATGGGCCCGGGCGGCGCCGCCGCCGAAATGGGCCCGGGCGGCGCCGCGCCGAAATGGGCCCGGGCGGCGCCGCGCCGAAATGGGCCCGGGCGGCGCCGCGCCGAAATGGGCCCGGGCGGCGCCGCGCCGAAATGGGCCCGGGCGGACTTATTCTGCAGAGAAGAAGAAGGTGAGCCTGCTCACTCTCTTGGCACTACTGCACTTATGCGGTCAAGAGACATTACCCCACTGTTTCCCAAAAACAACTACCTGGAAACACCTAATAAACATACTTCTAATATGTCAATTCAAGGACATCAAGACTAAAAGGCTGCAAGGTCTAAACACTAGACAGACAGAAAACACACAGGCAAAAGCTCCAGAAATATAACAAACTGTCCCTAAACTTGAAACAGACTACCCCTTACGTGCCCACTGCTGCCATTTTCAGATACACGCTCACACAGGGAGCCTCCATCACACATTTCTCCTAAACCCTGCTGCATCACTTTGACAGCAAGGTTATGACTTTGATAAGATTTGACATAGATGCAAAGGCTCACAGAAAGCCCCGTAATTCTGCAAAAATCAGAAGGGACCCAGAACCACAAAGCAAACACACAAAGTAACATCACCATACTATCCGTAAAACTGCTATAACAACTACTCACCTGAAGAAGAGCTGCGTGCAATACAGGCACCTACTACTAGATTCCTTTACTATGACAGATCCTACCAGTTTTCACCTCAAAAAGACAGGAGTACCAGTTTCTACTTCAAAATGCATCAGTCCATAGAATCTGACCCACCTAAAGAACCCTCCAAAAGACTGAAGGAAAAACGAAGCACTTACCCTAAAGTGCAGCCCAGGCAGAATGAGCTCTGTCATGGAATACCTGCAACTCAGTTACCACTAGGTCCCACCTGGAACCTGAAGCCAATCACCTGGGAAAGTGCAGGGGGAAAGCATAAAAAAGCAGAAAGACGAGCAGCAGCAGCTGTGGTTTTATTAACTTCCTTATATGGCTTAGCTCCACAGCATGCAAAGTGCAGACAGGAGAACTGGGGTGTTTCTAGAAACAAAAATCCCCATGCTTTTGCTGCAGCTTTGAATACTGAAAGGACAATACTACCACGCAAGTAAATGAAGATTTTTCAGCCGGATTTAGCTCAGACTTGTATTTACGCAGGAAGAAAACTCTAGGAGCAGAACAGATTATGCGCCAAAGAAGAATTCAATTCCATTCCACTCGCAGGAAAAATCACTTACTTCAGTAGGCTACCTGAGAACCAAAAGGCTATGCTGATGGGTCAAAACACACTACAGGACACTGGGGCCAGGCCCTCCGCTGCACCCACTTAAAACCCATCCCTACACTCACCAAGGTGCAACCCCAACACAAAAAAAAACAGACACAGCATTTCAGCACCTGCTTTGTTCCGATTCTAAAGACTAACACCACAGCCCACATTGCCTGGGACACCTGATAAACAGAAGAGAAAGCAGCCATACCCTTTTCAAGCCATCCCTGCACGTGTCGCTCCTTGATCATCTGCAACCTCTTCTCAAATCCTCAACCGCTTCTGTGGAGAGCCTGCCATGGCACCTGCAAAGCAAGATGGATACCCTTCGCACTCACCTCGTGCTACTTGGCCGTTCTGCTCCAATCCAGCTCACAAACAGCCCGCCCTTCTCGTGCTGCTCTTCAGAGTGCAGCTTGGCCCCTCTGAGCCTGTGTGAGACAAATGTGAAACAAAAAGAAAAGCATAGGCTGAAGCAGCATCCAAAGCCACAGCACAGCTGGGACAGTTACTCTCAGCTGCTCCCTTACCTCGGCCCCCTCACCTGCCCTCAAGGCAGATGCTTCCATCTGCTCTCTTAGGCCAGCTACAACACCTCTAAAATATAAATAAACAGGATTTTTACTGTATTTTGTGCAGTTAACTAACTGCAGTGACAACTGCACCCCTAAAGTACCTTCTACATCTGCTCATCGCTCACCTTGCCAAAAGCAGCTCCGGTCAAGTCCCGTGTTGTACACTGTGTTTCACCTTAAACAAATGAAAACAGCCACAAGAGAATCAAGCATTCAGCTGCCAGCATTAGCACCCATCCACCAACAACACAAAAGGGACCCCATTTACAATACTATCGTTTCAAAACAGCAGCCCCCTTGCCTCAGCACCTCAGAAGTAGATCAAGCCAGTCACCGAGCTGCCTACCGAGTACAGTTCCAGAAGGAGCTCTTTCCTGTGGGCAGTTCCTACTACTGGTATACACTCTACTGGGGACAGGAAAGATATAAAAATAAAAATTTCAAAACCCCATATCTGTAAGCTTTCAAGATTCAACAGTACACCATTCAAGCACTATGCAAACAGCTGCTCGCAAGCAGCTCAACTCTGCCAAATCCACATCTGCCAACCTCCAGAGATGACTGTGCCAGCTGTCCTTCAGTACGCGCCCAGAGGCAGATGTCTACGCCAAAACCGTCTGGACAATGTATTAGTACACCCATAGACTACCACGTTAGCTATTATCACTAACTGCCAGGCAGGACAGCTCCAGACCAAACACGTACACGCACAGGCACGCCACAAACACTACAAACAAAACACACAACACTAGGAAAACACACAACACTAGGCGCAAGAGAAAGCGACCCCCAGAGGAAAGCCCTACGGCAACAGCAAGTCAGAACAGGTGCTCTGCACCAGACCCAAGGAGAGACTCAAATGTCACAACACGTGACTGGAAGCAACTGCCAGAACTGGGATGATGGAGGCCTAAAAAGCCTGCCTTCAAGACAAGAGACCAGAAGGATGGGGACTGAAAACCCCTTAAGAAGACACTTAGGAATTCAATTCCCAAGCAAGACCTCCTGATGCGGCCCAGATGACTTCTGCAAGAGTGAGGATGGAAACAGACGCTATCTCAAACCGAGTATGATGCACAAGACCTGAAACAGATCTGCACTTCAAGCAGCGACTGCAAGACAAGAAGTGCTTGCATCAGCCCTATGATGACGAAACAAGCATTTAGGGCCTTTGGTGTGGCTACAAAGTTGCACGTCTTGTCTGTCCAGTGGAAGAAGGCAATGAGAATATCAAGACCTGAAGAGCACGTAACATATGATGATCATATCAGGAAATGTTTGATACAAAAAACTATTAATCGCATAGTAGAAGTGATCCCCTTAAGCTCCCACTGCAACACAAGCGTTGTTCAGCTCCCAGTTCAACATCAGTATTATTCTGAGGAGGTCAAGTGTTCAATACCTTTGGGATGGCTTCCCGAGGCCTGCCGGGCACCGAGAGCAACAGCACAGTACAGCACAGACAACACAGATGACAAGCTGGGACTGCCCTGCCTGGCACGCGCTCACATTGTACGTGACTGAACTCCCCACACATAATCTCTCTGCCTGACCTGATCAATCCTGAAAGGCCCCATCCAAAGCAATGACTTAAAAGCACAGACCCTCGCCCTATGGGTGCATTCACAACCCCAACTCAAACATAGCATTTGCCCCCCCCCCCCCCCACCGACCCCCCCAAATTAGCTTGGGAATGCTGGGAGGCAGGTTCCATCCTCACCAAGGAACACAAAGGCCAGCCAGGACATTGCTTGAGGCACAAGGCTCCTCTTCACCTGCAGAAATGAAGTGCCATCAGGCGCCAGCACACTAGCCAAATTTCTTCCAGTGAAACAACCTCCTCAGAAACAAAACAGTAGTCAACTGACCTGCTCTGCTACTGAAATCAGATAGACACCCTTTAAACAACTCCCCACCTCCCTCTGCCAACCACTCCACAACACACAGTATTTCCCCCTGGACTTAATTCTCAGGGCTCAGAATCCACTATCAATGTGCACCACAGAGGCCAGCTAGGATGTTCCCTGGACCTTCTTCGTCCCTGCAAAAGAGGAGTCACCCAGAGATGCACCAAGAGACTACTACAGCAAAAACAATACCCGTTTTCCAAATTTTCTCCACTCACCTTCCCGATCCAGGCCTAGCGCTTCCATTCACTGTGTTGAGCCAAGGTAACAGGACTTAGTCCAAGAAGAACAGAAACGTGACAATCCACAAAACAGTCTATACCCACTCCTTTCGTCCCCTACTGCAACAGCCAAGAAGCCCCAGAGCCACGTGGCCGAACCCAGTACCACCGCTTCACTCACCTAACATCCCCAGGAGATGCATCATGCTCCCAGCTCCTCTTGTGCTCCGAGCATCTCCAGCATTTCAGGAACTGGAACCGCTGACGTCTGGCACATGTCAGAAACATGGCAGGAGACGTACTCTGCTGTCCCAAGGCACTTGCAAAGCCGGCCCAACAGGTGAAGCAGAATAACACAGTCCACCGACCAACTCGGGGCCCCCACTGCTGTCCACTCACCCTCATGCTTCGTTCAAGTTTCCGTGCCTATGCCCTGAGCTACAAGAAACAAAGAGAGAAGGTCACAACCACGATGGATACGCAAACAGTGCAGCTCCTATCAGAGGACTCAAACACAGACACCAGAGCCAGACAAACAAAAAAAACCCCTTCAAGTACAAAAATGCCAAAAGGCCATGAATGCATAGCAGCCCCGGCAGGGGTAATGACAGACATACCCTTTGCAGATGAAAAAGGTGACCCTGCTCAGTCTCTTGGTAATACTGCACCAACACGGTCAAGCCTCTTCTAGCATGTAATCAAGCTGGTTTTAGTTCTCTGGAGAGTTACACAAGTGGGTTGATTCATCTGGAGATTAAAATACAGATCAAAAACAGAAGCATATCCCACCATCCCAAAAAACAGTGAGCTAGCAACCTCTACTAAATATCCCTCTATTAAGTGAATTCCAAGCACTTAGAATTCCAGAAACCCATAGACTCCAGCCTGCCTAGAGAACCCTGCAACTGACTGAAGGAAAAACAAAGCACTGCCCCCAAAGAGCAGCCCAGGCAGAAGGAGCTCTCTCATGGCATACTTGGGGCTCATATACCTTTTGGTCCCACCCAGCACCCAAACCAATCACCTGGGAAAGGGGAGGGGCAAAGCACAAGAAAGTAGAAAGAGGAAGAGCAGCAGCTGTGGTTTATTTACTTATTTATAAGGCTTAGCTCAACAGCATGCAGAGTGCAGACAAGAGAACTGGGGTGTTTCTAGAAGCAATAATCCCCATGCTTTAGCTGCAGCTTTGAATACTGAAAGGACAATACAACCACGCAAGTAAATGAAGCTTTTTCAGCTCAAATTAGCTCAAACTTTTATTTACACAGAAAGAAAGACCTAGGAGCAGAACAGATTGTACACCAACAAAATCAATTCCGTTCCACTCACAGGAAAAAATCACTTACTTCAGTAGGCTATCAGAACCAAAAGGCTATGCTGATGGGTCAAAACACACTACAGGAAACTGGGGCCAGGCCCTCCGCTGCACTGAATTAAAACCCATCCCTACACTCACCAAGGTGCAAGCCCAACCCAAACACAAACAGCATTTCAGCCTCAACACAGTTTTCAGAACTGCTGGAAAGCAGGCTCCATCCTCAGCAAGGCATGCTCAGACTACACAAGACAGGGCTTTGGACACCTCTTTGCCTACCAAAGAAGGCCATCATCAGCACCTGCTTTGTTCCGATTCTCAAGACTAACATCACAGCCCACATTCCCTGGGACACCTGATAAACAGAAGAGAAAGCAGCCATACCCTTTTCAAGCCATCCCTGCACGTGTCGCTCCTTGATCATCTGCAACCTCTTCTCAAATCCTCAACCGCTTCTGTGGAGAGCCTGCCACGGCACCTGCAAAGCAAGATGGATACCCTTCGCACTCACCTCGTGCTACTTGGCAGTTCTGCTCCAATCCAGCTCACAACCAGCCCGCCCTTCTCGTGCTGCTCTTCAGAGTGCAGCTTGGCCCTTCTGAGCCTGTGTGAGACAAATGTGAAACAAAAAGAAAAGCATAGGCTGAAGCAGCATCCAAAGACATGGCACAGCTGGGACAGTTACTCTCAGCTGCTCCCTTACATCTCCCCCCTCACCTGCCCTCAAGGAAACTGCTTCCATCTGCTCTCTTAGGCCAGCTACAACACCCCTGAAATATAAACAGGATTTTTACTGTATTTTGTGCAGTTAACTTACTGCAGTGACAACTGCACCCCTAAAGTACCTGCTACATCTGTTCATCCCTCACCTTGCCAAAAGCAACTACGGTCAAGTCCCGTGTTGTACACTGTGTTTCACCTTAAACAAATAAAAACAGTCACAAGAGAATCATTCAGCTGCCAGCATTAGCACCCATCCCTCAACAACACAAAAGGGACCCCATTTACAATACTATCGTTTCAAAACAGCAGCCCCCTTGCCTCAGCACCTCAGAAGTAGACCAAGCCAGTCACCGAGCTGCCTACCGAGTGCTGAACAGTTCCAGAAGGAGCTCTTTCCGTGACAGGTTCCTCCAAAGGTTTACACTCTACTGGGGACAGAATAGAAATAAAAATAAAAGTTTCAAAACCCCATATCTGTAAGCTTTCAAGATTCGACAGACCTCCTCAAGCACACCGTTCAAGCACTATGCAAACAGCTGCTCACAAGCAGATATACTCTCCCAAATCTACATCTGACAACCACCAGAGATGACTGTGCCAGCTGCCCTTCAGTACGTGCCCAGACGCAGACCAGATGTCTTCGCCAAAACAGTCCAGACAATGTATTAGTACACCCATACACTGCCACATTACCTGTCATCACTAACTGCCAGGCAGGACAGCTCCACACCAAACACGTACACGCACAGGCACGCCACAAACACTACAAACAAAACACACAACACAAGGCACAAGAAAAAGTGACCCCCAGAGGAAAGCCCTACGGCAACAGCACGTCAGAACAGGTGCTCTGCACCAGACCCAAGGAGAGACTCAAATGTCACGACACGTGACTGGAAGCAACTGCCAGAACTGGGATGATGGAGGCCTAAAAAGCCTGCCTTCAAGACAAGAGACCAGAAGGATGGGGACTGAAAACCCCCCAAGGCGACACTTAGGAAATCAATTCCCAAGCAAGAGCTCCTGATGCGGCTCAGATGACTTCTGCAAGAGTGAGAATGGAAACAGACGTGCATCATATTCGGTTTGAGATCGTAAGACCTGAAACAGATCTGCACTTCAAGCAGCAACTGCAAGACAAGAAGTGCTCGGATCAGAGCCATGGGGACAAAACAAGCATTGAGGCCCTTCAGCACAGCTACCAAGTCGCCTGTCTGGTCAGTCCGGAGTAAAAAGTTAGGAGGATATCAAGACCCGAGAAGCACAGAACAGAAAATGCAGAAGCAACACTACAGGACAGACAAACAGAAGGAAACTGTCCTGCCTGGCACACGCACTCACACTACAAAATAATCCTGCCTCTTCTATTAGCCTGCTGACCCAGCCACAAGCAGCCTGAACGTGACCCAGCCTCAACCACCCTCACAGTGGCACCAAGTCTATTCAGCCAGCTGGCTCCATGCTGCTCTGCCTCCCAGCTCCCATTAGCCACCCCAGATATGCAAATACCAGGTGCCCCCCAACTTAGCTCTCAGGTTGCTGCATGGTAAAGTCCCTCCGCCTCAAGAAATGCACAGGCACTGATTGTCATCTTAGTCAACTGAAGGCTCATCATCAGCTGCAAAAACAGAGTAACAGCATTCACTAGCACGCCGGCCATGATGCCCACCTTCTCCACAATGCTGACTACTGCTGATGCAACATACAATTGTGCTCACGTGTTCCTCTCCGACTCCAAGCTCCAACAGTGCAGCCAGTATCATCCACTCCACCTGGGAAAACAAAGGGATTAAACGATCATTGCGTTCACAACAAGTCAGCCAACTGTGTTTTTTTTGTTGTTTTTTCTAGTTGTATGTTTGTTTGTTGTGTGTGTCTCCTGTACTTTTTTTTAAATCAATTGTACCTAAACAACATGCAGAGAGCAGACAAGAGACCTGGGGTGTTTCTAGAAGCAACAATCCCCATGCTTTTCCTGCAGCTTTTAATATTGGAAGGACAGCACAACCATTCAAATAAATGGAACTTTTTCAAATGGAATTATGTCAAACATGTTCATCACCTCTTGCAAAAACAGAGAACCAGCATTAACTACCATGCCAGCCCTGATACCTACCTCTTGGACAACGCTCACTACTACTGATGCAACATACAGTTGTGCAATACCTCTCTCTTCCCAGCTCCTTTACCTCACCTGCTCAGTAACTCCACATGAGAAATGGGCCCGGGCAGCGCCGCGCCGAAACGGGCCCGGGCGGACTTATTCTGCAGAGAAGAAGAAGGTGGCCCTGCTCACTCTCTTGGCACTACTGCACTTATGCACTCAAGGAACCACACCCCACGGTTTCCCAAAAACAACTACCTGGAAACCCCTAATAAAAATACTTCTAATATGTCAATTCAAGGACATAAAGCCTAGAAGGCTTTATGGTCTAAAGACTCGACAGACAGAAAACACACAGGCAAAAGCTCCAGAAATATAACAAACTGTCCCTAAACTTGAAACAGACTACCCCTTACGTGCCCACTGCTGCCATTTTCAGACACATGCTCACACAGGGAGCTTCCATCATACATTTCAACTAAACCCTGCTCCATCTCTTTAACAGCAAGGTTTTGACTTTGATAATATTTGACATACAGGCAAAGAATCACAAAAAGCCCCGTAATTCTGCAAAAATCAGAAGGGACCCAGAACCACAAAGCAAACACACAAAGTAACATCACCATACCATCCGTAAAACTGCCATAATAACTACTCACCTGAGGAAGAGCTGCGTGCAATACAGGCACCTACTACTAGATTGCTTTACAGTGACAGATCCTACCAGTTACCAACTCAAAAAGATATGCGTACCGGTTTCTACTGGAAAACGCATCAGTCCATAGACTCTGACCCACCTAATGAACCCTCCAAACAACTGAAGGAAAAACAAAGCACTTACCCAAAAGTGCAGCCCAGGCAGAAGGAGCTCTCTGATGGCACACCTGCAACTCATTTACCACTAGGTCTCACCTGGAACCTGAAGCCAACCACCTGGGAAAGTGCTTGGGGAAAGCACAAAAAAAAAAAAAAAGAGAAGGAGCAGCAGCTGTGGTTTATTTACTTATTTATAAGGCTTAGCTCAACAGCATGCAGAGTGCAGACAGGAGAACTGGGGTGTTTCTAGAAACAAAAATCCCCATGCTTTTGCTGTAGCTTTGAATATTAAAAGGACAATACAACTAAGTAAGCAATTGATTTCTTTTTCCATCTGGAATTACCTCGATCTTTCATTTACATAGAAAGAACAATCTAGGAGCAGAACAGATTACACACCAAAAAATAATTCTATTCCATTCCACTCACAGGAAAAAATCACTTCAGTAGGATATCTGAGAACCAAATGGCTATGTTGGTGGATCAAAAAAACACTACAGGACACTGGGGCCAGGCCCTCCGCAGCACCCACTTAAAACCCGTCCCTACACTCACCAAGGTGCAACCCCAACACAAAAAAACAGACACAGCATTTCAGCTTCAACACCTTTAGGAACTGCTGGAAGCATGCTTCATCCTCAGCGACGTGTGCTCAGGCTACACAGGACAGGGCTTTGGGCACAACTTTGCTTACCAAAGAAGACAGCCATCAGCACCTGCTTTGTTCTGAAACTAAAGACTAACATCACAGCCCACGTCGCCTGGGACACCTGATAAACAGAAGAGAAAGCAGCCATACCCTTTTCAAGCCATCCCTGCACGTGTCGCTCCTTGATCATCTGCAACCTCTTCTCAAATCCTCAACCGCTTCTGTGGAGAGCCTGCCATGGCACCTGCAAAGCAAGATGGATACCCTTCGCACTCACCTCGTGCTACTTGGCCGTTCTGCTCCAATCCAGCTCACAAACAGCCCGCCCTTCTCGTGCTGCTCTTCAGAGCGCAGCTTGGCCCCACTCGGCCTGTGAGACACAACCTGTGAAACAAAAAGAAAAGCATAGGCTGAAGCAGCATCCAAAGCCACAGCACAGCTGGGACAGTTACTCTCAGCTGCTCCCTTACCTCCGTGCCCCTCCCCTCCCCTCGAGGCAGATGCTTCCATCTGCTCTCTTAGGCCAGCTACAACACCCCTGAAATATAAACAGGATTTTTACTGTACTTTGTGGAGTTCAGTAACTGCAGTGACAACTGCACCCCTAAAGTACCTGCTACATCTGTTCATCGCTCACCTTGCCGAAAGCAGCTCTGGTCGTCAAGTCCCGTGTTGTACACTGTGTTTCACCTTAAACAAATTAAACAAAAGTTGCCTACCAAGTGCTGAACAGTTCCAGAAGGAGCTCTTTCCCGTGACAGGTTCCTCCTAGGGTTTACACTCTACTGGGGACAGGAAAGAAATAAAAATAAACATTCAAAACCCCATATCTGTAAGCTTTCAAGATTCGACAGACCTCCTCAAGCACACCGTTCAAGCACTATGCGAACAGCTGCTCACAGATATACTCTCCCAAATCCCCATCTGCCAACCACCAGACATGATTGTGCCAGCTGCCCTTCAGTACGTGCCCAGAGGCAGACCAGATGTCTTCGCCAACACAGTCCAGACAATGTATTAGTACACCCATGCACTGCCACGTTACCTGTCAGCACTAACTGCCAGGCAGGACAGCTCCGGACCAAACACGTACACACACAGGCACGCCACAAACACTACAAACAAAACACACAACACTAGGCGCAAGAAAAAGTGACCCCCAAAATAAAGCCCTACGGCAACAGCAAGTCAGAACAGGTGCTCTGCACCAGACCCAAGGAGAGACTCAAATGTCACGACACGCGACTGGAAGCAACTGCCAGAACTGGGATGACGGAGGCCTAAAAAGCCTGCCTTCAAGACAAGAGACCAGAAGGATGGGGAGTGAAAACCCCCTAAGACGACATCTAGGAGATCAATTCCCAAGCAAGAGCTCCTGATGCGGCCCAGATGACTTCTGCAAGAGTGAGGATGGAAACAGACGCGATCTCAAACCGAGTATGATGCACAAGACCTGAAACAGATCTGCACTTTCGAGCACTTCTTGTCTTGCAGTCACTGCTTGATCAGAGCCATGATGACAAAACAAGCATTGAGGCCCTTCTGCACTGCTACCAAGTCGCCTGTCTGGTCAGTCCAGGTGTAAAAAGCCAGGAGGATATCAAGACCCGAGAAGCACAGAACAGACAATGCAGTAGCAAACAGGACAGACGAACAGAAGGAAACTGTCCTGCCTGGCACACGCACTCACCCTACAAAATAATCCTGCCTCTTCTATTAGCCTGCTGACCCAGTCACAAGCAGCCTGAACGTGACCCAGCCTCAACCACCCTCACAGTGGCACCAAGTCTATTCAGCCAGCTGGCTCCATGCTGCTCTGGCTCCCAGCTCCCATTAGCCACCCCAGATATGCAAATACCAGGTGCCCCCCAACTTAGCTCTCAGGTTGCTGCATGGTAAAGTCCCTCCGCCTCAAGAAATGCACAGGCACTGATTGTCATCTTAGTCAATTGAAGGCTCATCATCAGCTGCAAAAACAGAGTACCAGCATTCACTAGCACGCCGGCCATGATGCCCACCTTCTCCACAATGCTGACTACTGCTGATGCAACATACGGTTCTGCTCACCTCTTCCTCTCCAAATCCAAGCTCCAACAGTGCAACCAGTATCATCCACACCACCTGGGAAAACAAAGGGATTAAATGATCGTTGCAATCACAACAAGTCAGCCAATGGTGTTTTTTGTTGTTCTTGTTGTTTTTTGTGTGTGTTTCCTTTATTTCTTTTTTTAAATCTGCCTTACCTCAACAGCATGCAGAGCACAAACAAGAGAACTGGGGTGTTTTCTAGAAGCAACAATCCCCATGCTTTTGCTGCAGCTTTAACATCGAAAGGAAAATATGACCAAGCAAGTAACTGGAACTTTCTTAACTGGAATTAGCTCAAACTTTTTTTTTTTTTTTAAACTTAGAAAGAAAAATCTAGGAGCAGAACAGATTATACGCCAACAAAATCAATTCCATTCCACCCAAAGGAAAAAGCACATACTCTCATCCCCTCCGTACCTCAGCCGCCTGCCTGCCCCACATGGCAGATGCTTCCATCTGTTCTCTTCACCCACTTATACACCTCTAAAAGGCAAACTGGAATTTTACTCTACTGGATGTAGGAAAATAACTGCAGTGACAACCGCACCCCCAAAATTAACAGCTACCTCTGCTCATTACGCACCAGAGTCACTGCAGAAGCAGCTCGGGTTGAGACGTCCTGCACTGCGCACTACACACTGCATTTCAGCCTAATGAAAGGCAAAACACAGGCAGAAGATAAACATTCAGCTGCCAGCAGCAGCACCCATACCTCAACAACAAAAGCGACCCCATCTTTACTTTTATCCTTTCAAAACAGCAGGCCACTTGCCTCTGTACCTGAAAAGTAGGTCCAAGCTTGAAAGGAGCGGCCAGCATCACCCCACGCCACCTGGGAACACAAAAAGGATACAATGACCACGGTGCTTGCAAGCACCCACCTGCCACACTGCTCCTCTATCCCAAACAGCCTCACCTCGGACCCTCACAGGGAAACACCTGAGCGTCTTCCCTTTGCTTCCGATAAGGGATGACATGGCTGACAACCACTCACCTTCCCACAGAGCTTCGTGACATGAGGATTTCCCTTCCCTCTCCACAACTGAACCAAGCACCTGTAAAGACAAGAGAAACGCACACTCTGAGGCACCTCACAGCCACAGCGTACCTGCTGCAAGACCTCTCTCTTCCCAGCTCTGGTACTTCAGCTGCTCACCAGCTTTAACTCAGATTCTTTGCTCACAGCAGCACAGCAAACACTGCCTGGGCCACACAACACACACTACACAAGGTACATTGCCCAACACACACCAGCTGGAACATTCCCCGCCCAACAATCAGTCGCATCACACAGGAAGGATGCCGCACACTCCTAGAAACCAAACCTTCCAGTCCTGAGCAGCTCCCCACATTCTCCTGCCAACCACACTCAGCACACACACTATTCACCCCTCAAAAAAAAAAAACAAAAATTTAGAACATACACACACAAAAAAAAAAAAAAAAAACGAGCTCCGCAAATGCCAAAAAGACATGCACACACAGCAGCCCCGGCAGGGGTAATCACAGACTTACCCTTTGCAGATGAAAAGGTGACTCTGATACAACTCTGCTCAGTCTCTTGGTAATGCTGCATCTACGCTGTCAAGCCACATGTAGCCGGTCATCAAGCTGGTTTAGTCCTCTGGAGAATTACACAAGTGGGCTTACACATCTAGAGATTAAAGTGCAGCTCAAAAACAGAGGAGTATCCCACCATCCTATAAAACAATAAGCCACAACCCTCTACTAAATATCCCTCTATTAAATGAATTCCAAGCACTTAAAAATTCTAGAAATCTATAGACTCCAGCCTGCCTAGAGAACCCTGAAACTGACTAAGGAAAAACAAAGCACTTACCCCAAGGAGCAGCCCAGGCAGAAGGAGCTCTCTAATACCATGCCTGGGGCTCATATACCATTGGCCCCGCTCAGCACCCAAAGCCAATCACCAGGGAAAAGGGGAGGGGCAAAGCACAAGGAAGTAGAAACAAAGCAGCAGCAGCTGTTTTTATTATTTTCTTTGTTTTTTTTAAGATCTGCTTTACTTGAAAAACATGCAGAGAGCAGACAGGAGACCTAGGGTGTTTCTAGAAGCAACAATCCCTATGCTTTTGCTGCAGCTTTTAACATTGAAAGGACAACACGACCAGGCCAGTAAATAGAACTTTTTCAAATGGAATTACGTCAAACATGTTCATCATCACTTGCAAAAACAGAGAACCAGCATTCACTAGCACGCCAGCCCTGACACCCACCTCCTCCGCAACGCTGACTACTACTGATGCAACATGCTACTGTGCAATACCTCTCTGTTCCCAGCTCCTTTACCTCATCTGCTCACTACGTTTACCTGAGAAGTGTGCCCCGAACAGACTTATTCTGCAGAGATGAAGAAGGTGGCCCTGCTCACTCTCTAGGCACTACTGCACTTATGCACTCAAGGAACCATACCCCACGGTTTCCCAAAAACAATGTACCTCGCAACCCCTCATAAACCTACTTCTAATACGTAAATTCAAGGACATAAAGCCAGGAAGGCTTTATGGTCTAAGACTCGACAGACAGAAAACACACAGGCAAAAGCTCCAGAAATGTAACAAGCTGTCCCTAAACTTGAAACAGACTACCCCTTACATGCCCACTGCTGCCATTTTCAGATACACGCTCACACAGTGAGCCTCCATCATACATTTCTCCTAAACCCTGCTCCATCACTTTAACAGCAAGGTTGTAACTTTGGTAAGACTTGACATAGATGCAAAGAATCACAAAAAGCCCCGTAATTCTGCAAAAATCAGAAGGGACCCAGAACCACAAAGCAAACACACAAAGTAACATCACCATACCATCCGTAAAACTGCCATAATAACTACTCACCTGAGGAAGAGCTGCGTGCAATACAGGCACCTACTACTAGATTGCTTTACAGTGACAGATCCTACCAGTTACCAACTCAAAAAGATATGCATACCGGTTTCTACTGGAAAACGCATCAGTCCATAGACTCTGACCCACCTAAAGAACCCTGCAACCGACTGAAGGAAAAACAAAGCGCTTACCCCAAAAAGCAGCCCAGGCAGAAGGAGCTCTGTCATGGAATACCTGCAAATCAGTTACCACTAGGTCCCACATGGAACCTGAAGCTAATCACCTGGGAAAGTGCAAGGGGGAAAGCACAAAAAAAAAAAAAAAAAAATCAGAAAGGAGCAGTAGCTGTGGTTTCTTTATTCATTTATATGGCTTAGCTCAACAGCATGCAGAGTGGCAGACAGGAGAACTGGGGTGTTTCTAGAAACAAAAATCCCCATGCTTTTGCTGTAGCTTTGAATATTAAAAGGACAATACAACTAAGTAAGCAACTGACTTCTTTTTCCATCTGGAATTACCTCAGTCTTTCATTTACATAGAAAGAACAATCTAGGAGCAGAACAGATTACACACCAAAAAATAATTCAATTCCATTCCACTCACAGGAAAAAATCACTTCAGTAGGATATCTGAGAACCAATGGCTATGCTGGTGGATCAAAAAAACACTACAGGACACTGGGGCCAGGCCCTCCGCAGCACCCACTTAAAACCCATCCCTACACTCACCAAGGTGCAACCCCAACACAAAAAAACAGAACTGCTGGAAAGCATGCTTCATCCTCAGCGACGTGTGCTCAGGCTACACAGGACAGGGCTTTGGGCACAACTTTGCTTACCAAAGAAGACAGCCATCAGCACCTGCTTTGTTCTGAAACTAAAGACTAACACCACAGCCCACATTGCCTGGGACACCTGATAAACAGAAGAGAAAGCAGCCATACCCTTTTCAAGCCATCCCTGCACGTGTCGCTCCTTGATCATCTGCACCTCTTCTCAAATCCTCAAACCGCTTCTGTGGAGAGCCTGCCACGGCACCTGCAAAGCAAGATGGATACCCTTCGCACTCACCTCGTGCTACTTGGCCGTTCTGCTCCAATCCAGCTCACAACCAGCCCGCCCTTCTCGTGCTGCTCTTCAGAGGTGCAGCTTGGCCCCACTCAGCCTGTGTGAGACAAATGTGAAACAAAAAGAAAAGCACAGGCTGAAGCAGCATCCAAAGCCACAGCACAGCTGGGACAGTTACTCTCAGCTGCTCCCTTACATCTGCCCCCCTCACCTGCCCTCAAGGCAGATGCTTCCATCTGCTCTCTTAGGCCAGCTACAACACCCCTGAAATATAAACAGGATTTTTACAGTATTTTGTGTAGTTCAGTAACTGCAGTGACAACTGCACCCCTAAAGTACCTGCCACATCTGTTCATTCGCTCACCTTGCCAAAAGCAGCTCTGGTCGTCAAGTCCCGTGTTGTACACTGTGTTTCACCTTAAACAAATTAAACAAAAGTTGCCTACCAAGTGCTTGAACAGTTCCAGAAGGAGCTCTTTCCCGTGACAGGTTCCTCCTAGGGTTTACACTCTACTGGGGACAGGAAGAAAAAAAAAAAAAGAAAAAAAAAAGCAGAACCCCATATCTGTAAGCTTTCAAGATTCGACAGACCTCCTCAAGCACACCGTTCAAGCACTATGCGAACAGCTGCTCACAGCAGATATACTCTCCCAAATCCCCATCTGCCAACCACCAGACATGATTGTGCCAGCTGCCCTTCAGTACGTGCCCAGAGGCAGACCAGATGTCTTCGCCAACACAGTCCAGACAATGTATTAGTACACCCATGCACTGCCACGTTACCTGTCAGCACTAACTGCCAGGCAGGACAGCTCCGGACCAAACACGTACACACACAGGCACGCCACAAACACTACAAACAAAACACACAACACTAGGCGCAAGAAAAAGTGACCCCCAAAATAAAGCCCTACGGCAACAGCAAGTCAGAACAGGTGCTCTGCACCAGACCCAAGGAGAGACTCAATGTCACGACACGCGACTGGAAGCAACTGCCAGAACTGGGATGATGGAGGCCTAAAAGCCTGCCTTCAAGACAAGAGACCAGAAGGATGGGGAGTGAAAACCCCCTAAGACAACTCTCAGGAGATCAATTCCCAAGCAAGAGCTCCTGATGCGGCCCAGATGACTTCTGCAAGAGTGAGGATGGAAACAGACGCGATCTCAAAACCGAGTATGATGCACAAGACCTGAAACAGATCTGCACTTTCGAGCACTTCTTGTCTTGCAGTCACTGCTTGATCAGAGCCATGATGACAAAACAAGCATTGAGGCCCTTCTGCACTGCTACCAAGTCGCCTGTCTGGTCAGTCCAGTGTAAAAAGCCAGGAGGATATCAAGACCCGAGAAGCACAGAACAGACAATGCAGTAGCAAACAGGACAGACGAACAGAAGGAAACTGTCCTGCCTGGCGCACGCACTCACGCTACAAAATAATCCTGCCTCTTCTATTAGCCTGCTGACCCAGTCACAAGCAGCCTGAACGTGACCCAGCCTCAACCACCCTCACAGTGCCACCAAGTCTATTCAGCCAGCTGGCTCCATGCTGCTCTGGCTCCCAGCTCCCATTAGCCACCCCAGATATGCAAATACCAGGTGCCCCCCAACTTAGCTCTCAGGTTGCTGCATGGTAAAGTCCCTCCGCCTCAAAAATGCACAGGCACTGATTGTCATCTTAGTCAATTGAAGGCTCATCATCAGCTGCAAAAACAGAGTACCAGCATTCACTAGCACGCCGGCCATGATGCCCACCTTCTCCACAATGCTGACTACTGCTGATGCAACATACGGTTCTGCTCACCTCTTCCTCTCCGAATCCAAGCTCCAACAGTGCAGCCAGTATCATCCACACCACCTGGGAAAACAAAGGGATTAAATGATCGTTGCAATCACAACAAGTCAGCCAATGGTGTTTTTGTTGTTCTTGTTGTTTTTGGTGTGTGTTTCCTTTATTTCTTTTTTTTAAATCTGCCTTACCTCAACAGCATGCAGAGCACAAACAAGAGAACTGGGGTGTTTTAGAGCAACAATCCCCATGCTTTTGCTGCAGCTTTTAACATCGAAAGGAAATATGACCAAGCAAGTAACTGGAACTTTCTTAACTGGAATTAGCTCAAACTTTTTTTTTTTTTTTTAAACTTAGAAAGAAAAATCTAGGAGCAGAACAGATTATACGCCAACAAAATCAATTCCATTCCACCCAAAGGAAAAAGCACATACTCTCATCCCCTCCCGTACCTCAGCCGCTCTGCCTGCCCCACATGGCAGATGCTTCCATCTGTTCTCTTCACCCACTTATACCACCTCTAAAAGGCAAACCTGGAATTTTACTCTACTGGATGTAGGAAATAACTGCAGTGACACCGCACCCCCAAAATTAACAGCTACCTCTGCTCATTACGCACCAGAGTCACTGCAGAAGCAGCTCGGGTTGAGACGTCCTGCACTGCGCACTACACACTGCATTTCAGCCTAATGAAAGGCAAAACACAGGCAGAAGATAAACATTCAGCTGCCAGCAGCAGCACCCATACCTCAACAACAAAAGCGACCCCATCTTTACTTTTATCCTTTCAAAACAGCAGGCCACTTGCCTCTGTACCTGAAAAGTAGGTCCAAGCTTGAAAGGAGCGGCCAGCATCACCCACGCCACCTGGGAACACAAAAGGATACAATGACCACGGTGCTTGCAAGCACCCACCTGCCACAACTGCTCTCTATCCCAAACAGCCTCACCTCGGACCCTCACAGGGAAACACCTGAGCGTCTTCCCTTGCTTCCGATAAGGGATGACATGGCTGACACCACTCACCTTCCACAGAGCTTCGTGACATGAGGGATTTCCTTCCCTCTCCACAACTGAACCAAGCACCTGTAAAGACAAGAGAAACGCACACTCTGAGGCACCTCACAGCCACAGCGTACCTGCTGCAAGACCTCTCTCTTCCCAGCTCTGGTACTTCAGCTGCTCACCAGCTTTAACTCAGATTCTTTGCTCACAGCAGCACAGCAAACACTGCCTGGGCCACACAACACACACTACACAAGGTACATTGCCCAACACACACCAGCTGGAACATTCCCGCCCAACAATCAGTCGCATCACACAGGAAGGATGCCGCACACTCCTAGAAACCAAACCTTCCAGTCCTGAGCAGCTCCCCACATTCTCCTGCCAACCACACTCAGCACACACACTATTCACCCCTCAAAAAAAAAAACAAAAATTTAGAACATACACACACAAAAAAAAAAAAAACGAGCTCCGCAAATGCCAAAAAGACATGCACACACAGCAGCCCCGGCAGGGGTAATCACAGACTTACCCTTTGCAGATGAAAAGGTGACTCTGATACAACTCTGCTCAGTCTCTTGGTAATGCTGCATCTACGCTGTCAAGCCACATGTAGCCGGTAATCAAGCTGGTTTTAGTCCTCTGGAGAATTACACAAGTGGGCTTACACATCTAGAGATTAAGTGCAGCTCAAAAACAGAGGAGTATCCCACCATCCTATAAAACAATAAGCCACAACCCTCTACTAAATATCCCTCTATTAAATGAATTCCAAGCACTTAAAAATTCTAGAAATCTATAGACTCCAGCCTGCCTAGAGAACCCTGAAACTGACTAAAGGAAAAACAAAGCACTTACCCCAAGGAGCAGCCCAGGCAGAAGGAGCTCTCTAATACCATGCCTGGGGCTCATATACCATTTGGCCCCGCTCAGCACCCAAAGCCAATCACCAGGAAAGGGGAGGGGCAAAGCACAAGGAAGTAGAAAACAAAGCAGCAGCAGCTGTTTTTTATTATTTTCTTTGTTTTTTTTAAGATCTGCTTTACTTGAAAAACATGCAGAGAGCAGACAGGAGACCTAGGGTGTTTCTAGAAGCAACAATCCCTATGCTTTTGCTGCAGCTTTTAACATTGAAAGGACAACACGACCAGGCCAGTAAATAGAACTTTTTCAAATGGAATTACGTCAAACATGTTCATCATCACTTGCAAAAACAGAGAACCAGCATTCACTAGCACGCCAGCCCTGACACCCACCTCCTCCGCAACGCTGACTACTACTGATGCAACATGCTACTGTGCAATACCTCTCTGTTCCCAGCTCCTTTACCTCATCTGCTCACTACGTTTACCTGAGAAGTGTGCCCGAACAGACTTATTCTGCAGAGATGAAGAAGGTGGCCCTGCTCACTCTCTAGGCACTACTGCACTTATGCACTCAAGGAACCATACCCCACGGTTTCCCAAAAACAATGTACCTCGCAACCCCTCATAAACCTACTTCTAATACGTAAATTCAAGGACATAAAGCCAGGAAGGCTTTATGGTCTAAAGACTCGACAGACAGAAAACACACAGGCAAAAGCTCCAGAAATGTAACAAGCTGTCCCTAAACTTGAAACAGACTACCCCTTACATGCCCACTGCTGCCATTTTCAGATACACGCTCACACAGTGAGCCTCCATCATACATTTCTCCTAAACCCTGCTCCATCACTTTAACAGCAAGGTTGTAACTTTGGTAAGACTTGACATAGATGCAAAGAATCACAAAAAGCCCCGTAATTCTGCAAAAATCAGAAGGGACCCAGAACCACAAAGCAAACACACAAAGTAACATCACCATACCATCCGTAAAACTGCCATAATAACTACTCACCTGAGGAAGAGCTGCGTGCAATACAGGCACCTACTACTAGATTGCTTTACAGTGACAGATCCTACCAGTTACCAACTCAAAAAGATATGCATACCGGTTTCTACTGGAAAACGCATCAGTCCATAGACTCTGACCCACCTAAAGAACCCTGCAACCGACTGAAGGAAAAACAAAGCGCTTACCCCAAAAAGCAGCCCAGGCAGAAGGAGCTCTGTCATGGAATACCTGCAAATCAGTTACCACTAGGTCCCACATGGAACCTGAAGCTAATCACCTGGGAAAGTGCAAGGGGGAAAGCACAAAAAAAAAAAAAAAAAAATCAGAAAGGAGCAGTAGCTGTGGTTTCTTTATTCATTTATATGGCTTAGCTCAACAGCATGCAGAGTGCAGACAGGAGAACTGGGGTGTTTCTAGAAACAAAAATCCCCATGCTTTTGCTGTAGCTTTGAATATTAAAAGGACAATACAACTAAGTAAGCAACTGACTTCTTTTTCCATCTGGAATTACCTCAGTCTTTCATTTACATAGAAAGAACAATCTAGGAGCAGAACAGATTACACACCAAAAAAATAATTCAATTCCATTCCACTCACAGGAAAAAATCACTTCAGTAGGATATCTGAGAACCAAATGGCTATGCTGGTGGATCAAAAAACACTACAGGACACTGGGGCCAGGCCCTCCGCAGCACCCACTTAAAACCCTCCCTACACTCACCAAGGTGCAACCCCAACACAAAAAAACAGACACAGCATTTCAGCTTCAACACCTTTAGGAACTGCTGGAAAGCATGCTTCATCCTCAGCGACGTGTGCTCAGGCTACACAGGACAGGGCTTTGGGCACAACTTTGCTTACCAAAGAAGACAGCCATCAGCACCTGCTTTGTTCTGAAACTAAAGACTAACACCACAGCCCACATTGCCTGGGACACCTGATAAACAGAAGAGAAAGCAGCCATACCCTTTTCAAGCCATCCCTGCACGTGTCGCTCCTTGATCATCTGCAACCTCTTCTCAAATCCTCAACCGCTTCTGTGGAGAGCCTGCCACGGCACCTGCAAAGCAAGATGGATACCCTTCGCACTCACCTCGTGCTACTTGGCAGTTCTGCTCCAATCCAGCTCACAACCAGCCCGCCCTTCTCGTGCTGCTCTTCAGAGTGCAGCTTGGCCCCACTCAGCCTGTGTGAGACAAATGTGAAACAAAAAGAAAAGCATAGGCTGAAGCAGCATCCAAAGCCACAGCACAGCTGGGACAGTTACTCTCAGCTGCTCCCTTACATCTGCCCCCCTCACCTGCCCTCAAGGCAGATGCTTCCATCTGCTCTCTTAGGCCAGCTACAACACCCCTGAATATAAACAGGATTTTTACAGTATTTTGTGTAGTTCAGTAACTGCAGTGACAACTGCACCCCTAAAGTACCTGCCACATCTGTTCATCGCTCACCTTGCCAAAAGCAGCTCTGGTCGTCAAGTCCCGTGTTGTACACTGTGTTTCACCTTAAACAAATTAAACAAAAGTTGCCTACCAAGTGCTGAACAGTTCCAGAAGGAGCTCTTTCCTGTGACAGGTTCCTCCTAGGGTTTACACTCTACTGGGGACAGGAAAGAAAAAAAAAAAAGAAAAAAAAAGCAGAACCCCATATCTGTAAGCTTTCAAGATTCGACAGACCTCCTCAAGCACACCGTTCAAGCACTATGCAAACAGCTGCTCACAGCAGATATACTCTCCCAAATCCCCATCTGCCAACCACCAGACATGATTGTGCCAGCTGCCCTTCAGTACGTGCCCAGAGGCAGACCAGATGTCTTCGCCAACACAGTCCAGACAATGTATTAGTACACCCATGCACTGCCACGTTACCTGTCAGCACTAACTGCCAGGCAGGACAGCTCCGGACCAAACACGTACACACACACAGGCACGCCACAAACACTACAAACAAAACACACAACACTAGGCGCAAGAAAAAGTGACCCCCAAAATAAGCCCTACGGCAACAGCAAGTCAGAACAGGTGCTCTGCACCAGACCCAAGGAGAGACTCAAATGTCACGACACGCGACTGGAAGCAACTGCCAGAACTGGGATGATGGAGGCCTAAAAAGCCTGCCTTCAAGACAAGAGACCAGAAGGATGGGGAGTGAAAACCCCCTAAGACAACTCTCAGGAGATCAATTCCCAAGCAAGAGCTCCTGATGCGGCCCAGATGACTTCTGCAAGAGTGAGGATGGAAACAGACGCGATCTCAAACCGAGTATGATGCACAAGACCTGAAACAGATCTGCACTTTCGAGCACTTCTTGTCTTGCAGTCACTGCTTGATCAGAGCCATGATGACAAAACAAGCATTGAGGCCCTTCTGCACTGCTACCAAGTCGCCTGTCTGGTCAGTCCAGTGTAAAAAGCCAGGAGGATATCAAGACCCGAGAAGCACAGAACAGACAATGCAGTAGCAAACAGGACAGACGAACAGAAGGAAACTGTCCTGCCTGGCGCACGCACTCACGCTACAAAATAATCCTGCCTCTTCTATTAGCCTGCTGACCCAGTCACAAGCAGCCTGAACGTGACCCAGCCTCAACCACCCTCACAGTGCCACCAAGTCTATTCAGCCAGCTGGCTCCATGCTGCTCTGGCTCCCAGCTCCCATTAGCCACCCCAGATATGCAAATACCAGGTGCCCCCCAACTTAGCTCTCAGGTTGCTGCATGGTAAGTCCCTCCGCCTCAAGAAATGCACAGGCACTGATTGTCATCTTAGTCAATTGAAGGCTCATCATCAGCTGCAAAAACAGAGTACCAGCATTCACTAGCACGCCGGCCATGATGCCCACCTTCTCCACAATGCTGACTACTGCTGATGCAACATACGGTTCTGCTCACCTCTTCCTCTCCGAATCCAAGCTCCAACAGTGCAGCCAGTATCATCCACACCACCTGGGAAAACAAAGGGATTAAATGATCGTTGCAATCACAACAAGTCAGCCAATGGTGTTTTTTGTTGTTCTTGTTGTTTTTTGTGTGTGTTTCCTTTATTTCTTTTTTTTAAATCTGCCTTACCTCAAACAGCATGCAGAGCCACAAACAAGAGAACTGGGGTGTTTCTAGAAGCAACAATCCCCATGCTTTTGCTGCAGCTTTTAACATCGAAAGGAAAATATGACCAAGCAAGTAAACTGGAACTTTCTTAACTGGAATTAGCTCAAACTTTTTTTTTTTTTTTTTTAAACTTAGAAAGAAAAATCTAGGAGCAGAACAGATTATACGCCAACAAAATCAATTCCATTCCACCCAAAGGAAAAAGCACATACTCTCATCCCCTCCCGTACCTCAGCCGCCTGCCTGCCCCACATGGCAGATGCTTCCATCTGTTCTCTTCACCCACTTATACCACCTCTAAAAGGCAAACTGGAATTTTACTCTACTGGATGTAGGAAAATAACTGCAGTGACAACCGCACCCCCAAAATTAACAGCTACCTCTGCTCATTACGCACCAGAGTCACTGCAGAAGCAGCTCGGGTTGAGACGTCCTGCACTGCGCACTACACACTGCATTTCAGCCTAATGAAAGGCAAAACACAGGCAGAAGATAAACATTCAGCTGCCAGCAGCAGCACCCATACCTCAACAACAAAAGCGACCCCATCTTTACTTTTATCCTTTCAAAACAGCAGGCCACTTGCCTCTGTACCTGAAAAGTAGGTCCAAGCTTGAAAGGAGCGGCCAGCATCACCCACGCCACCTGGGAACACAAAAGGATACAATGACCACGGTGCTTGCAAGCACCCACCTGCCACACTGCTCCTCTATCCCAAACAGCCTCACCTCGGACCCTCACAGGGAACACCTGAGCGTCTTCCCTTTGCTTCCGATAAGGGATGACATGGCTGACACCACTCACCTTCCCACAGAGCTTCGTGACATGAGGATTTCCCTTCCCTCTCCACAACTGAACCAAGCACCTGTAAAGACAAGAGAAACGCACACTCTGAGGCACCTCACAGCCACAGCGTACCTGCTGCAAGACCTCTCTCTTCCCAGCTCTGGTACTTCAGCTGCTCACCAGCTTTAACTCAGATTCTTTGCTCACAGCAGCACAGCAAACACTGCCTGGGCCACACAACACACACTACACAAGGTACATTGCCCAACACACACCAGCTGGAACATTCCCGCCCAACAATCAGTCGCATCACACAGGAAGGATGCCGCACACTCCTAGAAACCAAACCTTCCAGTCCTGAGCAGCTCCCCACATTCTCCTGCCAACCACACTCAGCACACACACTATTCACCCCTCAAAAAAAAAAAACAAAAATTTAGAACATACACACACAAAAAAAAAAAAAACGAGCTCCGCAAATGCCAAAAGACATGCACACACAGCAGCCCCGGCAGGGGTAATCACAGACTTACCCTTTGCAGATGAAAAGGTGACTCTGATACAACTCTGCTCAGTCTCTTGGTAATGCTGCATCTACGCTGTCAAGCCACATGTAGCCGGTAATCAAGCTGGTTTTAGTCCTCTGGAGAATTACACAAGTGGGCTTACACATCTAGAGATTAAAGTGCAGCTCAAAAACAGAGGAGTATCCCACCATCCTATAAAACAATAAGCCACAACCCTCTACTAAATATCCCTCTATTAAATGAATTCCAAGCACTTAAAAATTCTAGAAATCTATAGACTCCAGCCTGCCTAGAGAACCCTGAAACTGACTAAAGGAAAAACAAAGCACTTACCCCAAGGAGCAGCCCAGGCAGAAGGAGCTCTCTAATACCATGCCTGGGGCTCATATACCATTTGGCCCCGCTCAGCACCCAAAGCCAATCACCAGGAAAAGGGGAGGGGCAAAGCACAAGGAAGTAGAAACAAAGCAGCAGCAGCTGTTTTTTATTATTTTCTTTGTTTTTTTAAGATCTGCTTTACTTGAAAAACATGCAGAGAGCAGACAGGAGACCTAGGGTGTTTCTAGAAGCAACAATCCCTATGCTTTTGCTGCAGCTTTTAACATTGAAAGGACAACACGACCAGGCCAGTAAATAGAACTTTTTCAAATGGAATTACGTCAAACATGTTCATCATCACTTGCAAAAACAGAGAACCAGCATTCACTAGCACGCCAGCCCTGACACCCACCTCCTCCGCAACGCTGACTACTACTGATGCAACATGCTACTGTGCAATACCTCTCTGTTCCCAGCTCCTTTACCTCATCTGCTCACTACGTTTACCTGAGAAGTGTGCCCGAACAGACTTATTCTGCAGAGATGAAGAAGGTGGCCCTGCTCACTCTCTAGGCACTACTGCACTTATGCACTCAAGGAACCATACCCCACGGTTTCCCAAAAACAATGTACCTCGCAACCCCTCATAAACCTACTTCTAATACGTAAATTCAAGGACATAAAGCCAGGAAGGCTTTATGGTCTAAAGACTCGACAGACAGAAAACACACAGGCAAAAGCTCCAGAAATGTAACAAGCTGTCCCTAAACTTGAAACAGACTACCCCTTACATGCCCACTGCTGCCATTTTCAGATACACGCTCACACAGTGAGCCTCCATCATACATTTCTCCTAAACCCTGCTCCATCACTTTAACAGCAAGGTTGTAACTTTGGTAAGACTTGACATAGATGCAAAGAATCACAAAAAGCCCCGTAATTCTGCAAAAATCAGAAGGGACCCAGAACCACAAAGCAAACACACAAAGTAACATCACCATACCATCCGTAAAACTGCCATAATAACTACTCACCTGAGGAAGAGCTGCGTGCAATACAGGCACCTACTACTAGATTGCTTTACAGTGACAGATCCTACCAGTTACCAACTCAAAAAGATATGCATACCGGTTTCTACTGGAAAACGCATCAGTCCATAGACTCTGACCCACCTAAAGAACCCTGCAACCGACTGAAGGAAAAACAAAGCGCTTACCCCAAAAAGCAGCCCAGGCAGAAGGAGCTCTGTCATGGAATACCTGCAAATCAGTTACCACTAGGTCCCACATGGAACCTGAAGCTAATCACCTGGGAAAGTGCAAGGGGGAAAGCACAAAAAAAAAAAAAAAAAAATCAGAAAGGAGCAGTAGCTGTGGTTTCTTTATTCATTTATATGGCTTAGCTCAACAGCATGCAGAGTGCAGACAGGAGAGCTAGGGTGTTTCTAGAAACAAAAATCCCCATGCTTTTGCTGCAGCTTTGAATATTAAAAGGACAAACTGACCAAGAAAGTAACTGATTTTTTTTCCATCTGGAATTAGCTCAGATCTTTTATTTACATAAAAAGAAAAATCTAGGAGGAGAACAGATTACATGGAAAAAAAAACAATTCCATTCCACTCACAGGAAAAATCACTTACTTCAGTAGGCTACCTGAGAACCAAAAGGCTATGCTGATGGGTCAAAACACACTACAGGACACTGGGGTTCAGGCCCTCCGCTGCACCCACTTAAAACCCATCCCTACACTCATCAAGGTGCAACCCCAACAGAAAAAAAACAGACAAAGCATTTCACCACCTGCTTTGTTCCGATTCTAAAGACTAACATCACAGCCCACGTCGCCAGTGACACCTGATAAACAGAAGAGAAAGCAGCCATACCGTTTTCAAGCCATCCCTGCACGTGTCGCTCCTTGATCATCTGCAACCTCTTCTCAAATCCTCAACCGCTTCTGTGGAGAGCCTGCCACGGCACCTGCAAAGCAAGATGGATACCCTTCGCACTCACCTCGTGCTACTTGGCCGTTCTGCTCCAATCCAGCTCACAACCAGCCCGCCCTTCTCGTGCTGCTCTTCAGAGCGCAGCTTGGCCCCACTCGGCCTGTGCGACACACCTGTGAAACAAAAAGAAAAGCATAGGCTGAAGCAGCATCCAAAGCCACAGCACAGTGGGACAGTTACTCTCAGCTGCTCCCTTACCTCAGCCCCCTCACCTGCCCTCAAGGCAGATGCTTCCATCTGCTCTCTTAGGCCAGCTACAACACCTCTAAAATAAAAACAGGATTTTTACTGTATTTTGTGTAGTTCAGTAACTGCAGTGACAACTGCACCCCTAAAGTACCTGCTACATCTGTTCATCGCTCACCTTGCCGAAAGCAGCTCTGGTCGTCAAGTCCCGTGTTGTACACTGTGTTTCACCTTAAACAAATTAAACAAAAGTTGCCTACCAAGTGCTGAACAGTTCCAGAAGGAGCTCTTTCCCGTGACAGGTTCCTCCTAGGGTTTACACTCTACTGGGGACAGGAAAGAAATAAAAATAAACATTTCAAAACCCCATATCTGTAAGCTTTCAAGATTCGACAGACCTCCTCAAGCACACCGTTCAAGCACTATGCGAACAGCTGCTCACAGATATACTCTCCCAAATCCCCATCTGCCAACCACCAGACATGATTGTGCCAGCTGCCCTTCAGTACGTGCCCAGAGGCAGACCAGATGTCTTCGCCAACACAGTCCAGACAATGTATTAGTACACCCATGCACTGCCACGTTACCTGTCAGCACTAACTGCCAGGCAGGACAGCTCCGGACCAAACACGTACACACACAGGCACGCCACAAACACTACAAACAAAACACACAACACTAGGCGCAAGAAAAAGTGACCCCCAAAATAAAGCCCTATGGCAACAGCAAGTCAGAACAGGTGCTCTGCACCAGACCCCAGGAGAGACTCAAATGTCACGACACGCGACTGGAAGCAACTGCCAGAACTGGGATGATGGAGGCCTAAAAAGCCTGCCTTCAAGACAAGAGACCAGAAGGATGGGGAGTGAAAACCCCCTAAGACAACTCTCAGGAGATCAATTCCCAAGCAAGAGCTCCTGATGCGGCCCAGATGACTTCTGCAAGAGTGAGGATGGAAACAGACGCGATCTCAAACCGAGTATGATGCACAAGACCTGAAACAGATCTGCACTTTCGAGCACTTCTTGTCTTGCAGTCACTGCTTGATCAGAGCCATGATGACAAAACAAGCATTGAGGCCCTTCTGCACTGCTACCAAGTCGCCTGTCTGGTCAGTCCAGTGTAAAAAGCCAGGAGGATATCAAGACCCGAGAAGCACAGAACAGACAATGCAGTAGCAAACAGGACAGACGAACAGAAGGAAACTGTCCTGCCTGGTGCACGCACTCACGCTACAAAATAATCCTGCCTCTTCTATTAGCCTGCTGACCCAGTCACAAGCAGCCTGAACGTGACCCAGCCTCAACCACCCTCACAGTGGCACCAAGTCTATTCAGCCAGCTGGCTCCATGCTGCTCTGGCTCCCAGCTCCCATTAGCCACCCCAGATATGCAAATACCAGGTGCCCCCCAACTTAGCTCTCAGGTTGCTGCATGGTAAAGTCCCTCCGCCTCAAGAAATGCACAGGCACTGATTGTCATCTTAGTCAATTGAAGGCTCATCATCAGCTGCAAAAACAGAGTACCAGCATTCACTAGCACGCCGGCCATGATGCCCACCTTCTCCACAATGCTGACTACTGCTGATGCAACATACGGTTCTGCTCACCTCTTCCTCTCCAAATCCAAGCTCCAACAGTGCAACCAGTATCATCCACTCCACCTGGGAAAACAAAGGGATTAAATGATCGTTGCAATCACAACAAGTCAGCCAATGGTGTTTTTTGTTGTTGTTGTTGTTTTTTGTGTGTGTTTTCTTTATTTCTTTTTTTTAAATCTGCCTTACCTCAACAGCATGCAGAGCACAAACAAGAGAACTGGGGTGTTTCTAGAAGCAACAATCCCCATGCTTTTGCTGCAGCTTTTAACATTGAAAGGAAAATATGACCCAGCAAGTAACTGGAACTTTCTTAACTGGAATTAGCTCAAACTTTTTTTTTTTTTTTTTTAAACTTAGAAAGAAAAATCTAGGAGCAGAACAGATTATACGCCAACAAAATCAATTCCATTCCACCCAAAGGAAAAAGCACATACTCTCATCCCCTCCTGTACCTCAGCCGCCTGCCTGCCCCACATGGCACATGCTTCCATCTGTTCTCTTCACCCACTTATAGCACCTCTAAAAGGCAAACTGGAATTTTACTCTACTGGATGTAGGAAAATAACTGCAGTGACAACCGCACCCCCAAAATTAACAGCTACCTCTGCTCATTACGCACCAGAGTCACTGCAGAAGCAGCTCGGGTTGAGACGTCCTGCACTGCGCACTACACACTGCATTTCAGCCTAATGAAAGGCAAAACACAGGCAGAAGATAAACATTCAGCTGCCAGCAGTAGCACCCATCCCTCAACAACAAAAGCGACCCCATCTTTACTTTTATCCTTTCAAAACAGCAGGCCACTTGCCTCTGTACCTGAAAAGTAGGTCCAAGCTTGAAAGGAGCGGCCAGCATCACCCACGCCACCTGGGAACACAAAAGGATACAATGACCACGGTGCTTGCAAGCACCCACCTGCCACACTGCTCCTCTATCCCAAACAGCCTCACCTCGGACCCTCACAGGGAAACACCTGAGCGTCTTCCCTTTGCTTCCGATAAGGGATGACATGGCTGACACCACTCACCTTCCCTCAGAGCTTCGTGACATGAGGATTTCCCTTCCCTCTCCACAACTGAACCAAGCACCTGTAAAGACAAGAGAAACACACACACTGAGGCACCTCACAGCCACAGCGTACCTGCTGCAATACCTCTCTCTTCCCAGCTCTGGTACTTCAGCTGCTCACCAGCTTTAACTCAGATTCTTTGCTCACAGCAGCACAGCAAACACTGCCTGGGCCACACAACACACACTACACAAGGTACATTGCCCAACACACACCAGCTGGAACATTCCCGCCCA